TACTCCTATTGTTTTGTTTTTTTTGCCAAAAAGAATGACGTCGGTTATATTTTTTTGAATTTATTTTGATTTGTTGGGCACGTCATTTATTCTAATGCTAGCTTACCCCTTGTTATTTGTAATTTTAACAGAAATGTTACTTAAGAAATAATATATCCTAAACAGTTATTTTATCGCTCAATTACATCACTGTTTGGATTTCGGATGCGACGAATTATATCACGAGGGCGTAGCCCGAGTGATATAATGATGTGCACCCGAACGACAAACAGTGATGTTAAAAAGCGATAAAATCACCAATTTTGATATATTATTTCGATTCTAACACGACATCAACAAATAAATGCTGCCATGCCTGATATTAAGCAAAATTGGGCCTGATTTGTTTCCGTACTTATTTTCAGTGCGTTCGGATTCTTTTAGTGGTTACGTCACATGTATAACGATAACGTCACATATCTAAATATAGAACGTCAACTACATATCTTTATTTAAGAAATAATATATCCCAAACTGTGATTTTATTGCTCAATAACATCACTGTTTGGAGTTCGGATGCGGGGAATGATATCACGAGGGCGTAGCCCGAGTGATATAATGATGCGCACCCGAACGACAAACAGTGATGTTATCAAGCAATAAAATCATCGATTTGGATATATTATTTCGATTCTAACACGACATCAACAAATAAATGCTGCCGTACATGATAATCTGATTTGTTTCCGTACTTATTGTCAGCGCGTCACATTTTTAGTGGTTACGTCACGTGTACAATGATTACGTCACATGTCTAAATATAGAACGTCAAACAGTGATTTTATAGCATAATAACACACACTTTCGGTTCTTCTATGTTCAATAGGGAAAAATGCGGGTCGTGTTAGAATTAAGAAATAATATTTCCCAAACAGTGATTTTATCGCTCAATAACATCACTGTTTGGAGTTCGGATGCGACGTTTTATATCACGAGGGCGTAGCCCTCGTGATATAATGATGCGCATCAAAACGACAAACAGTGATGCTATCAAGCGATATAATCACCGATTTGGATTCTAACACGACATCAACAAATAAATGCTGCCGTACCTGATATTAAGCAAAATTGCGCCTGATTTGTTTCCTTACTTATTTTAAGCGCGTCGGATTCTTTTAGTTGTTACGTCACATGTATAATGATAACGTCACATATCTAAATATAAAACGTCAACTGTGACTCTGTTGCATAATTTAACACGTACTTTCGGTTCTTCTATATTCAAAAGTGAAAAATGCAGGTCGTGTTAGAATGTTATAGATATATTACATCAATTTGGTTATTTCAAATTATTAAAGGACGTGTTCCGATATTTGTCTCTTGTAAAATTATGAACATAAAGTTAAAAAATGTAAACAGTAGAGCTGCAGACCTATTTCTTTTTTAATGACACTTCTAGGCTTTCGGAATTCGTTATTAAATCAAATTTCAATTTAGAAGATTTTTTGCGTACATACTCAAGAAGTTTAAGATTGCCAGTAAACCTGATGAAACAAGTCATAAATTATTAAAAGAATATATGCATGTAGTATACAGACGCCCGGCAAACTGTCGCTCCACTTCAAAATTGTGGATTATATATATAAAAGACAACTAATAAAGCATGATATCCTTTCAACGGCTATATAGCGTAAAAAATGTAATCGCGAAGGTGTAACTTATGACTGCTGTATAGGTTCCAAATTTGGATGAGGCTCGATCATTGAATCATATAGAATCTACATGGCGTTATACAGGGTGCCACTTACTCGATGTCAATTATGATTTTTGACACGGTAATGTTCACTTAAAAACGTGTGTCCGTGCAAAATTTGACAAAATCGAATATTTTCAGTTCTATCGCGATCAAATGTTTACGAGCAGGTGTAACGCGATAGTTCCCGCCAAAATGTTTGTTTTTCGAAAAGTTAGATATTCGAGGCGCAGAACAGAGACACAATTATGCAATACAGGGGGCAATGAAATTAAATAGATCATTACTACCGAGTTCATTTTACTATGCCTTTCTGTAATTAATTGCTCTAACGTAAATGTACTTACGCACAAATAAGCCGCGTTTTCATGAATTTACATATCTATGAAAATGGTTGACAAAGTGTCATTCATTTTAAGGATATAACACGTGTTTCAGTTATGTTTCAAGATACGTCCTCCCTTATTTAGCGTTTAGTTTATTATTATCCTCTCAAAGTGTTAATAGCCATGTTTACTTTTATGATAAAACACTGCAGTACAAATCGTGGTTTAAGAAAAAATTAAGTTAAAAAATTATCTGTAAAATGTTGTTTCTTTATTCACAGAGAATATAAACAAAACGAACGTAATAAAAAAGGCCAGGGCTCAATCGGTGAACGGACAAAAATTATCAATATTTGATAGACCTAGTTTGGGTAGAAATAAATTAATATAGTATCATATTTCTTCGGCTTCACAATTTAGTACGGATATTAAAGATTTTATTTCTAGAAATTCGAAGACTTGGCTCTTTACGCCAACTTAATATCGACTTGTGCCAAACAACCGATCTTTCGCTCCCTCTCTTGCCATCAGCATGTGAATTCTACAATGTAATCTCATACCCTTATACAAGTCTTAAATCAAGATGCGATATTTATTTATTTATTTATTATTTCAATTTCGATTTCAATTACGAATTAATTAGATAGCGGAAAGTTTTAACACCAACTAAATGAAGTGACGTCATAATTTACATTGCAAATGACATCATCAATGTTCATGTCATACTATACATGTAATCATAACAAACAGGCTAGACGATTTTCTTGTTATCTTTACTTTGCCGGCAAGCCTCGCCCTTTCTAGTCCTTACCAGCCTCGCCTGATAAAATTAATATCAAAAGACAGTACAGTAGCATGTTATTCTCTAGATCTAGTCTATATGTTTTGTTTCGATATTCATATAAATAACAAAGTGGGTTGGGAAATCAGTTTTAGGGTTAATGAAAATGCTCTATTGCGCCCGTCTTAAAAAGATCTGCCTTTTCACTCTTTGAATTTGATCTACAAATACATAAGTACATCGTACTAACCTTTTGCTGTTGTTTTTTCTATGTTTTCCTTGCTAAATTCACGCAAAATGAAGAAAGGTAAAATTTGCGCCAAAAAATTCGGCTGCAGCAGAAGAAAGGAAGTTAAATTCGTAACACCTCGGATAATATCAGAAGGTGTTCTTGATCGGCACTCATGACATACGCAGAATGTTCGCCCCTGAAACACCGGCGTTTAATACAGAGACACTTTCTCATTAAATATTTCTTAACATTCGTATTGTCTTATCCTTACTGTTATGTTTCTGTTTACTGTTATGTTTCTGTTTTGTTTGTTATTAATAATGAAAAACACGAGATGAGCTTATGACATAAAAGTAAACACAAACGTTTCATGTTTGCACACAGGCATGCCAATGTAAACACCAACCGTTTAAACACTGCACATTATTGTTTTAGTTATAAACACACGTTCCATAAAGAAACGCATGTGTTTTTATACTGCACACAACGAGAACACATACGTTTTGTTAACAAACACCTGTGGAACGCGTCAGGCGTTACCATTTTTTACAGTGTAGGTAGAGCGTTGGACTGTAAATCGGGCGACCCGGGTTCGATTCCCGGACGGCGCAGGTCAATTTCGTTGTGATTGATCATGAAATCCTTTCTACGGTCATTCGCCCTGTACCTCTGCTCTGGCATGTTCAGAAGTTTCAGTTCCTTGCGAAAGTGAGGGCAACTAGTACTGATAATTAAACTGCTTGACAGCCTGTCCAGGAACGATGCGGTGGTTGAACTGTGCTCTGGTGAATTCAATGTGGCTTACTGTCGTAATCCGGAGTGAAAACTACCAACACCACCACCATTATATGCGCATCTCCTCTTAGAATTGATTATTTTCATAAAGTTGTGTTAAACTTCCGTTTCGTTTTCTATTGTGCCTTCCTGCCGGTTGACGAATGAAGTTTGTTCTCGTTCTCATTCATTAATTTTTCATTCTCCGTATCGCCGAAGGGGAAACCAATATATGACTTTACATAATAGAAATCGCAATAATTGTTTGGTTCCGAATTTACTTTTGCTGTAAATCGAAGGCAAAATGGCAAACACAGATAGATCCGCGTCAGTGGGCGCGTGGCGCGGAGCGCGGAGCAATAATCATAGTTGGCCCATGGCTCAACATCGATTATTCTTTAACGATTTTACGTGGTTGGCCCAATAACTTTATGTTTACAGGGATTGTACTGTATAGATGCTATTTAGTTAAACTGTGATTATCATACTCAAGGTTATTAGATATACATGTCACACCCAAGGAAGTGTACATGCAGCACAAATTATGTAATATTTATACAATAAAAGGATAAAAAGCTAGCAAAAATTCTTTGCACTTCCAATTTAAATTACTGATGACAAAAATGTCTGATGATTCTTTCAACAGAGGGCTTATGTAAACGCAATTAAATCATTCTTATGTTGATTGAAATAAAGACCCTCTAATTTTCTTACATATCTGAAAGATTCTGTATTCATGAATTCAAAATTGCAGAAAATGTCAAATCAATTGCTGATATGCACCTTTGTATCGGTTAATTATCAAAATACTAGCCTCTAAACTGTTCAAATTGTCTATCAAATTGTTTAAAACTGATTATACTGATTAAAAATAAGCTTTCAGTATCTATCTGTGCCCTATTCAGAAAGCGCATGCGCAAAATATTACTTCAGTTTCTAAGGAGATATTGACATGTTTAAAGATCTATAGTGGAATAAAACTATCAATTTGGAGCACCTGGTCGACTACCAACAATTATTCCAAAACAATAAAGAAGGCTTTTCACACAAACAAATACTCCAATTATAGCAACGGGCAACCATATTGGACATTAAGCTTCAATCATTGCGTTTTTAATTTGTTTATAAGTGTAAGCAGCATTTATTTTACAGTAACGATGGCATCTAACGAACATGTTTATGAACACTCCACCGGGTCAGAAATGGTAGACGATGACATACAGATTCAAAGCGGAATGGTATGATTCAACTCATTGAAATTTCTGTTATCATCTTTTTCCCCCTGTGATTAACATATAAAAATGTGTAGAAGGAAAACATTTTAGCTACTTATGAAGCATAAAAAACACAAAAATTTAAATGTCAGTTACCAGTAGTTCGGTTTTTTATTGCTTCTGAATAGCCTAGAGCAGATAGGCTTATGATAAAACAACACTATTTCACGTTTTACTTGAATGAAACAAGAATCTACATTTGTATATTTAATGATTTTTGCTTTGAATGTACAAATTATTATGTATTTGTACTTACAATTTTATAAGAGTCACTATTGTTACCGTAGATAACTGTCACTGTTTATAAAAGGTTTTGGTTATTTCTATACATTAATGAACTAACATTAGTAAGTTGACACTTAAGTGAATAACTGTCAAATGCGAATGGTATTGGTAAGTAAGGCTGGCAGTGTATGCCATGGGTTAGCAGTGTCTTAGAATGCTTCTTAACCTATTGCACCTATATAATTGCATCCGCTTATATTCATGATAAATCTCGCAATGATACAAAAAAACTTTAAAAAGAAAATTGAATCACACATATGCATCCATAATAACCACAAGTACATGTGTTGTAGTAATGTTGATATGCAATGTTTTCTGCAATTTAACGTGAATGTTTTTTTGCACCTACAATATATCTTATGAATAAAGTCTATCCATCTGAGTCAGCAGTTTTTAGCTTTCTATATGTTTTATTGCGCTTGAGGAATCTCTCCTACTTAACAATACTTGATTCATATGCGTTAATGTTTGACTGTTAAATATCTTTTTTATTAAGCCTTTGCAATAAGGAAGGCGAGACGATCTATTCTCTGACATTTAATATCAACAAACAAAAGAAAATCAAGTCTCAATAGTTTTCACCTATTCAATCTAGTTTCATATTGCTCTCAGGGGTTGTTCCTATTTTCCAGAATATAAACGTGCTAAATAGGTAACCATATTCATACAAATCAATGACCCTCAATATTACTGCATATCAAAACTAATTAAATAGGTAAATGGCCAAATTTATTTAGTCAATTTTGTGCATAATAGTGTGTTGGTAGCACGGACAAAGATAAAATAGATGTCATTTTCTTAAATAAGTAAACAAAAGCCCGCCTAAAGTGCTTGTGTGACACTGTAAAATATATTATGATTGTATCCATGTAAGATGTTCTATACAAAAAGGCGTAGTGCTCTGATTGACACTTGAATGTGATAAACTGCTCATTTCTCTGGGTGTTTTTAGTTTAAGTAGGATGTAAACTGATGTCACCAGCCGTTGTATTATAACTTTTATATTCTGTTTTTCTCCAGTCCCTTTCAATTTTTGTGATTTCTTTTCTATTTTTTCAGGAAGATATGTCAATCGAAGATCTGTAAGTTAATTTTTTTATTAACATTGTTTGCAAAGTCATTTTTTCATAGAAGTTTACACTCAAATTGCTCAAATTTGTATACACTTTAAATCTATCTTAATACATTTGGTCATAAACAAATAAAGAGCAACTGTTGATGAACAAATGATAAATTTTATATATAATCTCTATAATTAAGAAAAGCTTTAATATTTGTATTTTAGAACAAGCAGGTTGAACCTTTTTAAGAAACCACAACAATTGATTAAGACAGAAAAAGGAGGGCAGTTGGAAGTAGATACAAATGTTTTGTCTCAACTTTCACAAGTTAACATGAAAATCAGTGTTGTCTGTGTTTGCGGTTCTTATAGAACTGGGAAATCGTATTTAATGAATCGGATTGCTGGCGACAAAACAGGTAAGTAAACTTTGTCAGTTCATACATTCCGTACATAATCATTAAAGAAATATATTGAAATCTGGAAATGGAAGTCCCTCGGAAGCATTGTAAAAACAGTATAATATTGTTTGATATGTTTAAACTTTGCTTAACAATCTTTCGGCAAAACCAAAATATCAATTATGTGTGTTAATCATGACGTGATATTTTCAAGACTAAACATTTGTCTGAACAGTCCATCATTTACTTTAAGGGTTTAAACTTGGCGATACAATTCGATCAGAGACAAAAGGGATATGGATCCGATGCAGACCTCATCCAACGCAAAGGGGCCAAGTGTTAGTTTTGTTAGACACAGAGGGTTTTGGTGATCCTGGAAAGGTTGTATTAACTTGTCATTTCTGAAACAGAAGAAGAAATTTTAAAATCCATGGCATAAAATTAAAAAGAACGCATGTGTATTTTCTTGACTTCTTCAAAATGCCTAATGTATATTAATTATACTTACAAAAGGGAAACAATTCATGAGTTTTACTTACTCTAGTTTTTATTTGCTCTAACGTCACACCGACACAGTATTGGTCGCAATAGCGACCTACAAGCTTAACTGATGGAGGACGACCTCAAGTGCCTTTCGTGCATTATTTCAGGCACGAACGGAGAACAAAGTTATTACAAATCTTACGAAATAATATTTGCATAGCTTGTAAAATTATTGATCGGAAACCGTTTTTACATACAAGGTCATTGCAACCATACTCTTTAACCCCTCGACCCCAAATCAATCGGGGTCATCTACTGGTCAAGTCCAATGCACCTACCAAGTTTGAGGGCAAACATCCATTGGGTTGTCAAGTTATTGATCGGAAACCTTGTTTACCTACAAGGTCACTGCAACCTAAATCTTTGACCCCTTGACCTCCTCAAAATCATTAAGGGACATCTACTGGTCACGTCCAATGCACCTACCAAGTTTGAGGGCCAACAGCTCATGAGTTGTCAAGTTATTGATCATAAAAATCGTTTTACCTCCAAGGTCAATGAGACCTTGACACAAGGACCTTGGCCTTTGAACTTTGACCCCAAAATCAATAGGGGTTATCTGCTGGTCATAAACAATAATTATACCAAGTTTGAAGTTCCTAGGCCTAAGCGTACTTTAGTTATTGATTGAAACCGTTTTTACCTACAAGGTCAATGTGACCTTGACCTTTAACCTCTTGACCCAAAATAAGTAGGAGTCATCTGTTGGTCATGAAAATTCATCGTACAAAGTTTGAAGTTCATAAGACTAAGCGTTCTTTAGTTATTGATCATAAAACGTTTTCACCTACAATGTCAATGTGACTTTGACCCCTTCACCCCAAAATCAATATTGGTCATCCCTTCGTCATGAACAATCATTATACCAAGTTTGAAGTTCCTAAGCCCAAGCATTCTTAAGTAATTGATCGAAAACCGTTTCTACATATAAGGTCAATGTGACCTTGACCGTGGATCATTGACTTCAAAGTCTATAGGGGTCATGTGCTGGTGATGAACAATCATCAAACGAAGTTTGAAGTTCCTAGGCCTAAGCGTTCTTTAGTTATTGATCGGAATCCGTTTTTACCTACAAGATCAATGTGACCTAGACCCTTAACCCCTCGACCCCAAAATCAATATAGGTCATCTATTGGTTATGAAAAATCATCAAACCAAGTTTGAAGTTCCTAGACCAACGCGTTCTTTAGTTATCAGTCGGAAACCGTTTTTAACTTTAAGGTCAATGTGACCTTTACCTTTGACTCCTTGACTCCAAAATCGATAAGGTCATCTACTGGTCATGAACAATGATCAAACCAAGTTTGAAGGTCCTAGGCCTAAGTGTTCTTTAGTAATCACTCGGAAACCATTTTGTCTACGGACCGATGGACCAAAAGACCGATCGACAGACAAATGCAAAGCAATATACCCCTACTTCTTTGAAGGGGGGGGGGGGGTAATAAATGACCACAGACTGCTCCACGCTTAAACACATAAAGATAAAAATGAAATTATTGGAATAAAATTTCTCCTATGGGGCTTTAGTTTAAAACAAAATGAACATGAATATTTCTAACATTTTACAAATGTACAAAATGTACAACATTGTACATGTACAAAATAAAAATGACCTAAGGTGAAAGAAGAAAGTAATTTTTTGTCTAATTTTCATATTCTTTAAATTTCTTCATACTTAGCCACTGAAAATTGTTTTTAATCTTGTTTTTACGTACTATTCACAAAAATATGTCAAGTAATTACAACTTGCACGGAAGGTTTTTCGGATGCTAAGATCTTTTAACCACATAGGGCTTGTCTTACAACTAAAGAAGTTCATCATTTCTACGAAAGAGTACAATTACAATGGAAATATTATCCCGTCTCATTTCATGTAAGTAATTAATATCATTAATAATATTTCAATTTTAGGGAGATCTCGAACATGACAGCAAAACGTTTTGTCTTGCACTTCTGATGAGCAGTATACTTATCATAAATGTAAAATCTGTGTTTGACTTCCAAACCCTGATGGATTTAAAGTATCCTTTTAGTAAACATTTAGGTGAGCAATTAATGTTTTGTCACCTGTTGCAAAATTGATTGTTTGGGAAGGTAAGATTTATCATGGACAGAATAAAGAAAAAATTACGGGAGGAGCAAATTATAAACTCGAAAAGGCTTTTTTGTAAAAACAAAAACCTTATGTCTCATGTGTAAGTACTCTTGGGATGGAACAGCTGGATGTAAATCCAGTCAGCAGCTTGAATAATGAAAACCAAACAATTTTTATAGCTCTGGTGGCTATTTTTTGTAGCGAAGCAGAACGTGCAAGCGATATGCACAACTTAGATTGGTGCGGATCACTCCTATGAAGTTTCGTTAAATTCCCCTATTATTTTAAACTGTGAAGGCCGAACATTTTTTTCTATTTTTGCTCTAGCGGCCATTTCTTGCAGTGAAGAGAAACATGTCAGTGATATGCACTTATGAGTGGTACTCATCACGCCAGTAGTTTGTCTTGAGAAAGCCGTATAATTTTTTTCCATTTATAGGTTTGGCGGCCATTTTGTGCAGCAAAGCCAAACGTGCCGGCGATATGCACAACAATGTATGGTACTGGTCCCTCCTGTGAAGTAAAGTTCAAATCCGCCAGCTATTTGGCCTATGAAAGCTTGAAAGGATCTTTATATTTAAAGATCTGGCGGCCATTTTGTGCAACACATTGGAACCTGCTTGCGAGATGCACAACTTGAGATGGTACTGATCACTCCTGTGAAGTTTCATGAAAGTCGAACTGGCTGTTTATTCCGTAACGGCCTGACAGCATTTTTCAAAGTTTAGCTTTTGCGGCCATTTTGTGAAGAAACGCAGAACGTGCATGCGATCTGCATAACTATATATGGTACTGATCACTCCTATGAAATTACGTTGAAAATCCTCCAGCAGTTTAACCTCTGAAAAGTGGACAATATTTTTCTATTTATATCTCTGGCGGTCATTTTGTGCAGCGAAGCCAAATGTTCGGTTGATATGCACAACTATATATGATGCTGATCACTCCTGTGAAGTTTCATTGAATTTCTACGAGCAGTTAGATCTATGAAAGTCGGACAATAATATTTCTAATTTTTGCTCCTGCGGTCATTTTGTGCAGCGAAGCCGAACGTGCCGACGATAAGCACAACAAGGTATGGTACTGATCACATATCTATGCTATGTTGTACTGAAATTCATCAGCAGTTAGAGTAGTTTTGACTCGTGAAAGCAGAACAAGCTTATTGTGAACCTACGGAAGGACAGACAGACGGACAGACAGACGGCGAAGGCAAAACTATTTTGTATTCCAAAATTTTTGGAAACATAATAATAAGAAATGTATAAGTACATTTTCGAAAGCCATAACTATATTCTATATTTTAGCAAGTGTTTGTTTTATGCATGCCTACTTTCAAGAACACACATTGAATACAAAAAACATACTTTTATATAACGCATTTTCAATTGACTCCTGTCTTATTTATTGAATTATGGACCTTGTAACTGTTGCTTAAGACACTTCACCATCGTAACAAATACTGCAAATTTCTTGAATAATTTTGTTAACAGAAATTCTATGTTTTGCTTGAGATTTCATTTAATCACTGGTATGTTGTATCAAACTATTCTACTATTTATTATAACTATTTAATAATTATTTAACACATGTTGTTAAGAGCAGAGCTCAAGTGAGAATGCCAAGGTATGAGAGAGGCATGATCATTTATGTTAAGCATAGCATTTATGAATATCAAGTAAAGGGAAGTAATAACATTAACTGTATGAATAAACATGCAAAGAGTTATCTGATCTTGATAAAAACCCGGTATCTTTGTAAGATAAGAAGAAGTTGCTTGTACAATGACATAAAATTGAACAACGAAGAACTACATGTATGTACCATATAATTTGTTTTAAACATTCTGGTATTGTGGTTTATACAATCATGGATTTCAAGGAATAGGGCAGAAGCAGAGGGAGCTTTTGACAAAAAATTGTTAAAAGGACAAGTTGAAAATTTGCCTTGAAATAAAGCCGTAATTATTAATTCCTTAATGATTAAAGTTTCATAATCAATCTTCCCGAAACAATTAAAGTTCTAGATGATAAAGCGGAAGACAAACATAATGCCAAAACAATCCAAGTTGCTGTTCCCACTCTGATCATGTGCCTCAGAGATTCTTACTTGGAAATTATGATTGATGGAAGACTTCAGACAGCAGATGAATACCTTGAAGATAGCCTTAAATCAGTAAACTTGTCTACGTTAACATCGAAAGAACAGGTACAAAAACAAGAGGAATCCAACAAAGTTAAAGAGGGTATCAAGGATTTTTTTCCAGAGAGAAAATGTTTTGCGATTGCACAGCCAGCAATGGGTAGGAAACTGAAGAACATCGAACAATTAGATGAAACATCCTTAGACGAGAGTTTTGTCGAAAACATCAAAACATTGCAAGAGTACGTTTATATGAGAGAACCAAAGAAGATTTGTAACGCTAGCACGAAACCATTAGAGGGACCAGGTAAGTACTGAAATTTCTCTTGAAATCTAGACTGAAAATGAAACTAACAAGAGCTGTCCGTAAGACAGCGCGCTCGACTTTTTTATTGCTTGCCAATAAAAAAAGTTTTTGCAGTAAAAGGAAATACAAGAATCTCTGTATTTTTAAAGTGAACAATGGCCATGAGCATTAAGATATTTAGTGAAGAATTATTTTACTGAATTGTGTGATACCCTTGAACACTGCAGCAAAGTTTGAAATGTTTAAGTCAAAAGAGGGCTGGTACTAAAAACTAAAAAATTAATATCTCAAACAGTTCAGTCAAAAAGTGGACTGGTACTAAAAACTTAACCAAGATTCTAAGTCGATAAAAGGCCTTAATTTTTAAAACAAATCCTTGACAGAGTTACCTTCTCTTGCGTACAGATGGGGGTAATGATGTGAAATAGCATTAAAAGTTTCAAAGCAATATCTCAAAGGGTTAAGGCAATAAGTGGATTTTACCCATATTCAATGTATTTTCTAAGTCAAAAAGGGGCATAATTCTGTCAAAAACCTTGACAGAGTTATGTCCTCTTGTCTGTTGATGAAGGTCGTGATGGTAAACAAGTATGGTCAGTTTCAAAGCAATACCTCCAATGGTTTTGAAATAAAGTGAGGTGGTACAAAAAACTTAACCAAGCTCAATACACTTTCTAAGTCAAAAAAGGGCCATAATTCTGTCAAAAACCTTGACAGAGTTATGTACTCTTGTCTGTAGATGGAGGTTATGATGGTGAACAAGTATGGTAAGTTTCAAAGCCATACTTGTAATACTTCTGAAATAAAGTGGGGTGGTACGAAAAACTTAACCAAGGTGTGACGCCAACGCCGACGCCGACGCCGACGCCGACGCCGGGGCGAGTAGGATAGCTCCCCTTTTCATAGAAAAGTCGAGCTAAAAATGAAGCTACTCAAGTAAAATGTTACGATTATTAACCATAAAACTTAATTTAAAAAAAGAAAATAAACATTTGAAGATACCTAAACGCTTGAAATCTTATTTATTAATTAAGATCTTCTGATAAATAAATAAATTATAAAACTGGATAAATACTGTAAATAATAAATAATACATGTAGGGATAAATCATCGCCCTTGGGTTTGTTACTAGAATGAGTTCGCTAAAGAAGAGGTTATATGTAAATGTATCGACTAAATTCTAGTTTATTCTTCCAGCGAAACATTTATCTAGCGGAATGTTCAAATTTAGGCGGATTTCCGTTGTTTGGCGGAATTTAAGTTCGGTTTAGCTATGTTCAAATCATAACCTTAATTTGTTAATTCTTGTTTTACGGTTGGAGAAGCTGCTCAACTAAAGTAAGCGTCTCTGCTTTTAAAGTTCTGTGTGTTAATTCTAAAATAGATATTTGTACGCCGCTAAATATTCAAAAGTACTTTTAGACAGCGCAATTAGTTAAGTAATCACAGCGTTCCGCTAAACAAAGCACTGTCGTGGCTCATATGCCGTTAGATAAGTTAGATCCGTCAAGGAGCCGTTAAAATGTAATTATGATTTTATAGAATAACAATGACTTAAATTAATGGTACATTTCTACAAAATAGTCACTCATTTTCCGAAACTTGATTATGGTATTTCCTGATATTACAGTAAAGTACTTTCTCAGTATATGACCGTTCAGGAGTTTTTTCGTCTGAATTCGTCAACTTGAAATGCACTGTAAATAATACACATCAATGTGTTCTAGTGACACTTTTAAAGTGTACTTTGAACATCTCTTGAAATGGAATAATAGTTCAGGTATATTTCTACATTTCTGGTTCTTATTATTGTTATTTTCAGTTGAGTATCTACGCTGAATCGTCATGTTATTTTGCGATCCGGATAATGCTCACATAGTTCTGTAAGATATTTCAATGGTCCTTTAACTCGAATCATTGAATACTAATACTGTTTACTGTAAGATATATACAATGTAATTGATAAACAACCACACAAATCAAGTTTATAACAAAGGAGAACTTTAATGAAGGAAAGTTATGTCTCACACACTGTCAAATTGTGAATATGTCTGTCCATAACAGTACTATCCGACATGATATTTACTGGTTGAGTAAAAACGAATCACGATTTAAAGATGTTTACTAGTATTGTTTGCGACTGCTTCAAAGAGTCACAAGTCATGTTTAAGATTGCAAAACTATGAATTTACTTTCCGAATGTTTGAATATTTCTGTATTGACAAAACATAGAAAATTAATTCATCTCTAAATTCTTTAAACACTTTTGACATAGAAAATGAATTATATATATATATTGAGAATTTTCAGTGATTAAAAAAATCTCATTTTGTGAACTTGACCTCCTATTACATTGATTGGATTTTCCATGTTCACACATGTATCCAGTTCCGGTCTAAATAGTCGTTGTTGATTTTGCACGGGAAATGAAATGAAATTTTCTGGATTATTTGTGCCTTTAATGGATTAACTTATAGATGAGCGGTGAAAATGTATCTATGTTATTGAATGCAAAAAACACGAAACTGTGAATTTGATACAATTTGTGATATTTGAATTGACATTAATGGCCTTTGTTAGATAGTTGGCGGTTATAGTTGGTCATTTGCTAGGACATCACGTAGATTTAACAAGCACATACCTTTATTGACCGCCTTATCGTCACGCTTGACTTAACTGTAATCAGGAGAACAGATCTATAAATATTGATTCTGAATGTAAAGAGATAATGGGGATTACAATTGGACTATGGCGAGCAAGAATTGGGACATTCATAAATCAGTCCAGTCACAAAAAAATTGTCTAATGACTGGCGCCTCCATTCATTATTTATCATTGTGCATACGACTTCTGCTTTTTCTTCATCTAACGGCACAATGCGTTGAGCGAAATCCAGGACTGACAAACGGGAGACCATGCGGGGGCGGTCGTGATGGGCGATCATCCATTGCTACTTCTCATCCACCGACACCGACAAACGAGTTCGACCTCTCGCAGAGTAGCGTAGCAGATGATGCCGGGCATATGTATCCTACGCGTAGTTCTAATCAATCGTCTCTCGTACCTAGGCTACAGCCAGACGCTACACAACAGAAAACCTCTACTGCAGATAGAACATCGATATCTTCACAGTCATTCCAATAAAAAATGATGAAAACTTGAACGTGATGTCTATTTTACTAGATATCAGATCCGAATGAAGACAAATCAACAGAAGATTTGATACGTTAGAAAAATCGGTCGAAGAAATGATATTCGAAAATAGTAAAAAAAAAAGCAAAGCAGAAAATGTCATTCTGTCAAGTAAAGTTGAGTCTTTGTCCAATGACTTAAAAGCTGTTAAAGATCAAAACTTGAATTTGAACACGAAACATTTAAAATGCATATCCGAAAAAACAATTTGAAAATCCACGGAATCGAAAATATTGACAATATTCAACAGGATCAGGTAGAACTAAGCGTTTGTCAACATTTAACAAATTATTTTTTGTTTAGACGGAGACTCATTAGATATGAATGCAGACTATAAACTTCCGGGACGAGCTGAGAGAGTCTTGCTAGTTAAGTTCACGCGACAATCTGATCGTGATAAAGTTCTAAATGCTTACAAGGAAAAACGCAAACGTTAAATTGTGCGAGGAAGAATCGTGGAAGACCTGCCTGAAACGGTAGCAAAGGCCCGCACAGGTCTATATCCTTTTCTAAAGCAATGTTATGAAGATGGGAAGAGGGCCTTTTGCAAATATGATAAACTTACAGTGGATGGAGAATCGTACGTATTTGACCCAAGTGAAAAGAAACCCGTGCAGGCAAGAAAATAGCAGAGTGGCCAAGACCCACGATTCACAACTGTAAATAGTATCAAAGTTTAATGCTTCTTCGATATTTAATAGAAGGCCTAATCGTTTTCAGTCCCAGCAACTCCCCCACTGTTCCTGTAACAAGGTTCTTCTCGACCAGAATATTTAAGGGGCCTAGGTTCAACGTCAATTAATATAAGTTGACAGGTTACAATAAAAACGATGCTAGTTTTTTATTTAATCATTGGTTTAAATTAAATCATACTGATCCAAGAGCACCAATCCAGCAGTTTTAAATAACAATTATATGAGGACAAACATTTGGCTGGATTGTCGGACCATACAAATAACCACTTATTTCCAATTTTCAAATTAATGCTGCTTGGCTCGTGCCAAAAGTCACGGGTGCCCAATTTGTTATTTTCACCAAGTAACAGCTTAAATGAATTTATCGAACCAGTCTATTAGCATGTCAAATATGCACAATTCGACGGAGCATGTACATTGTATAATCATTGGTTCAACGTATAGGAAAATATGTCTGTTGCAAAACTGAAAAAAACCAGCTTTTAACTTGTGTCCTTTTAAATAATATGGCCAGGTGACTTAAATCTGACTTACCTGGTACATTGTATTACCTGGTTAAAAAACAAAAATAAATAAAAAAATGTTACCTCAGGGTTCCGCCTACCCCTGTTTCATTTTGAAAAATTTGTTTCTTTCTTAGATTGCCTTTTTTAAAAAATGATTTTTTTGGCAAACGTTAGTTTTTGAATCCTGTTTAGATATTTAACGTATTCAAACACGTTTGTTTAGACCTTGGGGTATGTCGATCTGCGCAGATCTATTAAAAGCTATCGATTACTCGGGGGTTGAAATAAATGCGGAGAATCAAACCATTCATGTACCCGCATAAAAGCCATAGACGAGCTTTTGCGGCTTATATCTTCAAAAATGTACATCTTTGAAGGAAATTCAGTTTAAAGCATGATTACTTAACATTATCACAAAGGCTTTTCCTATTGGCAGAGCTTTCTTGCGAAGATTTTATGATTCTATGTCTAAGATTAAAAAATATTTTTATTTTATGCATGTAAAGGGAAATGCGCAAATGCGCCATGACCTGGCTCTTATTTCTTACTGAATCTAATGGACTCGCAATGTTACATGGTAAGAATTGGTCAGAGAATACATTTATTGAACCCTACACCGATGCGTCCGGTAGCAGTTATTAAGGTTGTGACTGCTACTTTAAATGTCAGTGGTGTGCCTTTAAGTGGCCAGCTCAATGGGAGGAGCTTATTTTTAAGGACATCACATATCTTGAACTCGTGCTATTTTTCTAGCACTCCAGTTATGGGGCAATGAAATGAAAAACAAAAAGGTTATGTTTCCGTCTTCTAATAAAATATTCGTAATAAATATAACACTGCCATATTCTCAAACTTTTGAAGTATTACCAGATAGCGAAATATAGCTTTCATGTCGTTATAACAGTACGCATATAAGACTATAAATAGCTACACATCTGATATAACGTATGTCAATAAGTTTAGTCGATATGGCACACACACACACACACACGCACGCACGCACGCACGCACGCACGCACACACACACACACACACACACACACAAGAAAAAATATTAAGGTTAAACGTATGCTTGAAGGTCTAAAACGAACAAGAGGGTCTAATGACACGTCAGCCTGTAACATAACATAAAAAAGTTGATTTCAGCTTTACAAAGTTTCTGTCGCTTTCTGTATTAATACATGTTATTTGAAGCTGCATTTTCACTCGCGTATATTTGTACTTCTTAGAGTAAGTGAATCACTTGACGGAACAAGAGATCATCAAATCATTTCCTGTCAACACATGACATTATCATGGGTTCGAAACATGAAACATTTGAAAACTGACCAAAGAGGTCAAGGTGCTTCTCTCGATATCGAAATTAATAATAATAACAATAATTATGATAATGATAATAATAATAAACTGCTTCAAGTTTTGTTATGATAATATTCACTCTTATCTGAACTATTGCCAACATAATGATGACCCCCTTTTTTCCATTTTGATGGGTCTCCTCTGACGTCTTACCAGTTCAATGTTGTTTTCAAAAAACTGTTAAAATTCATTGGTCTGCATAACAACAGGATAGGATGAGCTTTATGAATGTATAGAGTTGGATGTCTTATAAATACTATCAAAACACATGGTAGGTGGAGGTCTGATACCTATAAGTCATATATATATTCGTTAATTTCCGACAATATTATGCAAAGTATCTCTATGGGTTTTCCTGAAGCCGATGTCGGATCATTTAATCGCCTTTGTGGCCTGTAGTTCTTTAAAATGGCATAAATAAGTAGTTCATAATATTGAATTCTTCTCGCTAGTTCCTCTCTGTTTTGCATTTTAAGATGTCTTTGTGTGAAATAATTTTTCGTGTTATCTAATGTGCTTTATAATAGTTGAGTCGCGGAGCTTAATTAGTCAAATGATAGCAGTTACTTATTTTTCTAAATTATAAAGATATTGTGAAGGATCTGCCAAATGCCAAATGATAAAGATAAAGTTGCGTGATGAAATGATAAAGATAATGATGAACTAATAAAGATAATGTAGAAATAATAAATACCAAATGATAAAGAAAAAGTTGTGTGATGAAATGATAAAGATAATGATAAACTAATAAAGATAATGTAGAAGTAATAAATGCCAAAGGATAAAGATAAAGTTGTGTGATGAAATGATAAAGACAATGATGAATGTTGATTAGAACATCGGAATGTTTGTGTTGTTACGATAATTATTTCAGATTAATGATTATTTAAAAAAGATAATGATGAAATGATGGTGATAACATCATAATGTTTGTGTTGTTATAAAAATGATTTCAGAATAATAATGATAATTTATTAAGATAATGATGATATGATGATAACGACGAAATGATGATAGTCCTCGTTGTGTGATAATGATAGTTTGATAAATATAATGATGAAATGATAATATGATTTAAGAATGAAAATGGTAATTTGACAAAGATAATGATAATAATAATAATACCAGATCGATTCGATGGTATACATATTTATGTATTATTTTATGTCATAAATTGGTGAGGTGATATTTGCTATAAGTCTAACAAACGCAATGTCAATGGTATAATGTTGTTATTGGTCGGCGATCCGCTTTTGGCAACTTAAATGTAACATTTGCTATCACAGTATAGGTAGACCGCTGGCGGATACCTTTACCTTAATATTGACGATTTAGCTCCAAATTTCCAAGTCTCTTTAAGATATTGATAATTGGTTCCTTCTTTATACTGGTTCCTTCATTTTAAGCGGTGCATATCAGAGACTGTGTTCAACACCAGACGGTGTTAGGAACACTATTGCTTGGAACATATGGGTGGTATGAAATCGAGGATCTCGAACAAAGTATAGCCTACTTAACTTCCTTTAAGCAGAATGAACCCAAACCTGTATTCGTATTCATTGTGGAGGCAAAGGATATAGGCCTTAAAACATCTGCGGCTATTAATTGCGGTCTCAAAATAATCAAGATATTATCAGAAGTAAGTTTCCATATACAAAACTAATTTGGTCACATAATTTACCATGGCGATCATGGCGTTATATCACGCTGACCGAGCAAGAAAACGTATAAAAACAGCTCTATAGTCACATATGTAATAAATGGCGGGGTCACTACCTAAAATACCGGTGTATAAACTCTAGCCCCAATGTTCTTTTAGGTACGACGCTAAACACACTTGTCTCCCAGTAGCTATAATATACAATAGAATACCTCCTTAAAAACCACCCCGGAATTAAGACCATCCCACTATAAGACCATTTTTTGGGAGAATGGAATTTTCTGTTCTTTATATCAATGGTTACATGACCAGAATTAAGACCACCCCGCTTATCCACTTTTAAGACCACCAGATTCGGTCTAATTCAATTGTTTTATTCTTAATTTGACCTCACTATTTAGAACCACTGATATTAAAGTCAGCACCTACCTATATCTTTAAAATTTGTTGTCATTGTCTGCTTGAATGCTCTTATGTATGACCTGATGCTAAATAATATTTCCGAGGTCATTTATTCATTCAGCCTATCTTCCCGATGTGATTTAGTGACGTAAAGACAGATTTGTCACTTTTATCAGTATTGGTTGTTAGTTATTCCTAAACAATTTACAATGTATATATAAATCAGGTTTCTAATTTCAACGTGGCTGGGTTTAGTCGTTATGTTAAACCGCTTTGGCGGAAGGTACTCTCATTCTTCGAGTCCCTTTTTGGCTGAAATTTAACGTAACG